ATAAGCAAGTGTTAAAGTTGCTGGATAAGTTGATCGCAGAAGGAACTGGCATCTCCAATCCAACTTTCATCTCGAGTGTTGCTGCTTTGGCCTCATTTATTGTAAGTGCCAAATTTATGTAATAATACAGAGAGTGACGGTAGTAAAGCCGAATTTACGTGAGACAGCAGGCAACAATCACAACGATTGTTCAAAGCTGTTTCATTATGGTGACTGCTGTTTAACGTCGCTGTTGGCGCTCTGAAGATTATCAAGAACTCTAAGTTATGGGCAAAAGTCTTGACCCCAGGTGGGACGCGAACCCGCATCTCATGCTTTGTGGGCAAGTGCGCTATCCATTACGCCACCAGGACTCTTTTACCCTATCAGCTTAACGGCTTTTGTGCCGTACCCTTTGAGCTCAGATTGTGAACCCATGGCTATGACACAGAAGCCATCAAGCTGGGAGGGCAAGAGAGGCTCTGGTGATGTAACGGATAGCGCACTCGTCCGGAAGACGTGAGATGCGGGTTTCAGTGCCGCCTCGGATCAAGGCTTCTGCTCATAGCTCAACACTTCTGTGGTGAATCACAACAGCCGTTAAAGCCATGGTGCATTAAAATGCATCAGTTAGCAATAGCGAGCTACAAGGGCTACGCGAAAACGCAGTAAGGGGTGACAGGTGCTGCTAAGGAAGATGTTGAGGTTTAAAGTGACGGTAGGTGAAATCAGGCAACAAGAGACGCCCGTGACCTTAGATAGCGGGGCACCTACTACCGTGGAAAGAACATTTCGCGAAATCCGCCCCCTCCTCTCCTCAGAACTTCCTGCTCTGGTGTGACCCCCTCTTCATCATCCCCACCCCACCATCTTCCTAAGTCATCAGAACTTCCTACCACTTTTCCGGGCTTTTTTTCCAAAAATACTCCAGTTTTCCTTAGAAAGACTGCCGTCGATGGGAGGAAAAATAGGAGAGAGATATACCTCACGTTAATGGGAAGAAAACCGGAAAAAGTCCACAACTTGAAGCATTGCGCCTTCTCTATTGGAGATCCGCCTCTCTTCAAAGGCAGTTGGCACGATAAATCCTTCAAACGAGTAGGACTAATACGCCTGGCAGGACGGAATTCCGCGACCCTGAGCAGGCACTGCATAATGCTTTTTCCTAGAGAAGTGCCCTTGTAAGGGCCCTATAAAGCCAAAACATCCCGACAACCCCGCCCGCCCCCCGCCGCCCCGCCAATGACGACGCCGTTTCTTGACGTCATATTTATTCTTCTGCTAAGCAAACTATGAAGCGGCCGTGATGCTGCATGGTGAGTACACATGTGCAGCCGTACCTTCGGTGCGGTTATTGGCAAATGCCCTACGGGAAACTCGCCCAAAATTGATCTAGTGAAACTCGGCCCAAAATTGACTAACTACAAGTGGGAAAGGGCTCATTTTCGCAGGATTTGTGACCGTTTTCACTCCGTTTCGCTTCCGTTTCCGCTACTATATAGCCCTACCAGCATTTGGGCCGAGCACCAAATCATCGTGCCAGCTGCCTTTAACACATTAGATGATGAAAAGGGCGCAGTGATTCGAGCGTCCCCCTTATCAGTTGACAAGGGTAGGGTTGGGTTAAGGCGAAACAACCTCTGCGCCATAGTCAATAACTGAAGCGCCGTCCTTACAAACATTGCGGCCGCTACTGCGCGAGTCCTATCATTTCATCTTGTTCATAAAAAATTGCCTCAGTATGTTCCGTCCTAATTTCAAACGCTTATGAGGAGGACTATGTTGATACACGAGCGTGTTTTACACAGAATCAGAACATGCCAAGAATATTTCAAAATATCAAATACAAGACAGGCATAGAGCAAATTTATGAGCACACCCATTGTGTGTCACGGTCCGGAACGTGTTAAAGGCAGCTTCTGGACGATAAATTTTCCCCCCCCCCCCCCCCCAAGGCGAGGACTCCCTGAGAGGATAAAATCGGACCCCTGGGCAGGCGCTGCATAGCGATTCCCCGAGGAAGGCCGGCCCTTCATACGGCCCTATCGCGCAACTTTACGTCCCAAACCCCGCCACGCCGCCGCCACGAATGGACGAGCCGTTCCTGACGCTTGCATATTCATTCTTACTGCTCAGCAATTATGAGCGGCGTGATAGCAAATTATAAAGCCGGCTGCAATTGGCTCATGCATGACGTGTGTCCACGTAATGCAGGCCCATTATCTGCGGTATGGTGATTGGTAATATGCCTATGGAAACTCGTCCGAAATCGATTTACAAGTCACTGAGAGCGGAGGCTTTTTCTTCGCAGGATTTTGACCGTTTCACGTCTTTCGTCCTTTCCCTGCTGTAACAGCGCCGCTACTAGCATTTTGCTAACGGCAGTAGAAACCATCGTGGCAAATCCGTTTAAAAGCAAAGGCCCGCGACCACAGAATGTGGGTAACGGGAACCACATAGGAACGAAAAAGGCTAGGTATCTGATTAGCGGAGAAAAGCAGCAGAAAAACAGCCGAAAATGCCTAATAGGATTCCATATCGACTCCAACTTGTACATGCATGCAATGAAGAAAACGCATGTTTGTACGAATTTCCACTCGTCGTTATCATAAAGATATCAGCTCTTTTATCGTATCACCTCACTCTCACCATTCGGAATGGAGAGAGATAGCATAGTGGCTACTAGCTAGTAGCTAGCAGCCGGTGGGGGCATGGGCCTAAGGGGCGCCCTGGGCTAAGTGGTAAGCTTGAAGTCGAAGTTTTGCGGTTTTCACTTTCTGAAGGATACCGCAGCTCGCGAAATCTCGCTCGGATGTATGGCATTTGAAAGTGTCATACGCCTTATGTTTATCGCGGAAACTGCCTTTAAGAATGCGGTACTTACAGTTCTCACTTGGTATCTCATCGGAAGGCACGTGCTCAGAAGCGGTTTTATCGGCGTTTGTTGGACTGTTTGAACGATTTATGACCCAAGAAGAAGGATTGAATCGGATCTGAACTGGCGATCGCTGCTGTTGTTAAGCATCCGGTAAGATTTGCGTTCTGGGGATTTTTTTCCTTCTCTTCTCTTCAAAATAAGTTGGTTCAGGAATGCTTTGTTACAAAAGCGAGCGTATTTTTGGAAGCTGGTTTCAACGAAGACTACAGAATTTTCCGGAGGGTTTGTGCTTTCCGTTTCCTTTCCGGGTTGGCTTTTCTGATTTTCTGGGTCAAGTTTTATAAATTGTTCTGTTTGTATTCAGACAGAAGCGTTGTTATGCCTTGTGGGTATGATGAACAAAGGAGTGCTGCAAAAAGTGCCAGTGGAGAAGTCTTCTAAATCAATTCATTGCTAAGGCGTCCTTCGTGAATATCTTCTTCCTCAATATCTGAACCAGAAGAGGTTTGTTCTTTTTTTTTTTGTTGCATTTTTTAGTTCACAATATTTTTGAAACACTATGGCGTACTGAGACTAAAGGTACAAATTTCGCCATGAACCTTAAATTTTTGAATTTTTGTGTGTGAGATACTATTGATGCGACATTTCAGATAAAACCTCGATTTTTTGCAAGTGTTTTGAAGCTTTTGTTATCGACTGCTAATAGTATAGGAGACGATCTCAAGGTAATCAACTTACAGTCTAGTTCACAGCAGATGAAGGGGCGTGGCTATGAGGGAGGGTTGGCGTGCCACCAGCCCGTTTTCCGCCACTTCTTGGAGCGGTGTGTACCAGCGACTGGTGGAAAACGACTTACGCGAACGATACAGCTCGTCGCTTGCTGAGAAAAGGAAAAAGAACGGGGTGGCTTCGCGCCAAACCCATACTTCCTTGACACGCCCCATCATCCGCAGCGGAAAACGTCAGCCCCATCATCCGCAGCGGAACAACAGTATATACGAGAGTAAGTGTGGAATCATGAAGAAACTATGATTTAAGCCCACATTGCAAAAACACCTGAAAATAGACAAGATCTTGGAAGACGAGCAAGCACTGGATGCTGTGAGCAAGAAGATCAATTCGGCTTGCCAAAAGGTGAGTACCCCAGATGGTGATTCAAAAATGGTAATGTGTACGACAGTGGCCACTCTTGACGTTAACCGATGGTTACACCAATCATTCCACTTGTTTCCAAATTCGTAGAAGTTCTGCTAAAAGCCCGCGTGAACATAAACTCGCTTGTATGGGGGGATGATAAGCACTGGCATTGTGAGTCAGTGCTGTAAGCTGCGTTCATAATTTGCGGCAGCGTCCACAGCCATCACTAGCGTTCCGAGCGTCCGGCAGCGTCAGCGACTAGGAAAGTATAGATATCGATCTAGCGTCTGCCAGCGTCCACCAGCGTTCACCAGCGACCGGGAGTAGAGAGTATGGGGAAGTAGGAGGGTAGCAACAGCTGGATTAGGCGTCGCGGAGTTGCTGTACATGCTACCGCACCATACAGCTGCACTAGATCGTACATAAGTAATTCTGTTCAGCAGTTGTGCGGTGCTTTTGCACAAGCCGCGATTTTGACGCTCGACCTAGCTGTTTGCTACCCTCCTACCTCCCCATACGCTCTACTATTAGTCGCTGGTGAACGCTGGTGAGCTGGAAGACGCTGGCCGGCGCTAGATCGATATCTATTCTTTCGTAGTCGCTAACGCTGCCCAACAATCGGAGCGCTAATGGTCGCTGGTGGCTGCTGCAGCAAAGTATGAACGCAGCCTATGAACGCAGCCCTACCCCCACGGCAGACGAGAAACCCTGTGCTTCTTTGCTGTCTCACCTCATTAAGTTCAAAATCTTTGTGGGTACAGGATGACCTATAAACTCAAAGGTTTCACCGGAATGGCGGGTCTGCTGATAGTGGTACCCAGCGGTATATCCACGAGCCATCGCTCAGTTGGTATTGTAGGTTTTCAGGGGAAAGTTGCACATAGGCTGACCCCGTGTTGGCCCATCTTTTTGCCTCATTAAGTCGGGCTATAATGCGAATACGTTGTGCATAAGAAAGCGACTAATGAACCTGACTTACAACTTCTTTCCTCATTAGTCACTGAAGAATGAAGCAATCGTTCCAGGTGTGCGGCAAGTCAGCAAAGCGAGTGCTCGATGCTGTTCAAAAAGCCTTGGCGTAGCTGTTGAATGTTGTTGGTTTTGTTATCACTGTTACTGTTCAATTTTGTTGGAATTTTGTTGAACTCGTTGTTGTTGTTTTCACTATTTGCGACATAAAGACTAATTGATTGAATTGACTAATTTCACCGTTGAATAAATATGTCACTGAGAGTGTCAAGCAGTTGAGTATGCCTTCGCTCAAGTGGCTCGATGCTATCGGTCATTTGTAATTTGAGTGCTGTGATATTCGTTATCGTTCAAAAGTTCAACGTAGTTTCGCTCGGGGGGGGGGGGCTTTGTGAGTGTCCGACCAATAGAGGAAGAACTGTGAAATTTTGTGAAAGGTCTTCTGTCAGGGAGTACCTATTAACTCTTGTAATGCAATGATTAGGTCGATAGGAATTAGCGAAAGTGCAAAATGTCCAACTCCCCTTCACCCCCCCCCCATCCGAATTGCGCCAAAAGTCCCCATTGTGTTTCCGCACAGGTGGGGAACAGGAATCCAGTGAATGTGCCATCACTATGACAAGAGGCGTACGTGACTAGGGCTAGAAAGCTACACGTAGACAGGGCACATTTTTAAATTTTGATTTTTTTTGAAATTTTCTTACTTTTCCCCAAAAATTTTGCTGTCGAGAGGGGAGGGGATATTTAGGCTGTGAATTTCTTTTCAAAGGCCAATTCTACTCTTCCGCCTCATTGCTTCCGTGAAACAAGGAGAATCAACTACCAAAAAAATGTTTTTCCCAGACAAAGTACGTCTCCTACCTGCCCCAGCGAGCAAATAAGACCCCCTGTTGGGGAATCCGCAACGATAATGTGTCTTGCATTTAGATGCGCCTTTTGCAATATTCTAATTTATCATCGTAGAAGTAAAGTCAATTAACCCGAAACGTTTTCAAAGATGCGCTCGTTTATCATTATAGTTGTGGATTACGAGTTCAGACATTCTGAGGAATTCCCGTCAGAGCGCGCCTTTTTGAAGAAAAAACGGTGTTTCCCAGCGTACTTTGTCTGGAAGGGCGGGAGGAGGGGGGGGGGATTTCCAACTGAAGAGAATCTCCTGACGTTCTGGATTGAGCGCATGAAACAAGAAAAATCAACCATCAAAAATTCTCAGGTCATATACGACCTGCCTCCCTCCAGCTACTGAAAACGACTTCCCGCTTGGGGTCCCCAGCGTACGACGTGCCCTGTAGTCGACAGTCAGGTTCATTCGAGGAAGATCTGCACGATAATCATCGAGTCAACAAATGCTATAGGAGCGTGACATGCTTTGAGCTGCCTTCGTTATTTGACTGGAACTTTGGACGCGAATGATGTGGCTCGTCTCTTTACTAGGCTGCTTTCATACTTTGCGGCAGCGTTCATTAGCGACCAATAGCGTCCACCAGCGTTCCGAGCGTCCGGCAGCGTCAGCGACTAGGAAAGTATAGATATCGATCTGAGCGTCTGACCAGCGTCCACCAGCGTCGCAAGGGTCATCGAAATATAGATTCTGATCTCGCGTCCGCCAGCGCCCACCGGCGTCTACCAGCGTCTAGGAAAGGAGAGTATGGCGCGATAGGAAGGTAGCAGACAGCTGGTAGAGTATGGGGAGATAGGAGGGTAGCAGACTGCTGGTCGCTGATGGACGCTGGTAGACGCTGGCAGACATTAGATTGCTACGATACTTCCCTAGCTCCCGAGACACTGGCGGACGCTAGTACACTGTGGACGCTAGATCGAATCCGTACCCAAAGTACGAACGGAGCCTTAAAGGTGCGTCCAGCGTTCAGAAATTGGTCAGCTGTGCATCTCAACTACGAATGGCAATATGAAGACTAACGCGAAATCAATAAATAGCAAGAAAAAAATTGGCCCGAAAAGGCCTCATTCACAACTCCTCACCGAACTGCATTTCTACGGCGAGGAGAGAGCGCGGCCGGACGAATTCTAACTTTTTTATACCAGCTCTTTCTTCTTATAAGCTCACTCTCAACAAACAAGTGCCCCACCAGGAAGCCTAGTGAAATTCGGGCGTTGCCATGGTCAGTAGGAGGAGCCGTGGCCTCGAACTTTCGCATATATCGTTGAGCTGTCAAAGTAGTACACTCTCCATGCTTACATAAAAATCATGTCCAAAGAAGGCGTCTGAACGTTAAACAAATGCGGAGCGTTCCTCTAAGCAGTCAGAGGAGAAGATACGGTACCGTAGACAGAGCATGCAGCAGGGCACAGCGCGAAAAATGGAAAAAGTAACAATCCTGAACGAGGCCCCCCTCGCTTTTTGCTCATTTCTATCCTGATTCAGAAAAGAGAATAGAAAAGAAAGGCCATTAGGTTTCACCCACCTTTCCTCGAGTCAAAACAAACTCTGGTACCTGAATCAATTGCAATTAAAAGAAAAAAAAACAGGAAATTAAGCCAACTTCCTCCTAAG